GGGGAAGAGTGGAGACCCAAAGCCCATCTGTGGACAATTGGACATCCCCTCACAAAAGGCTCACAAGGAAGGGATGAGCCAGCCAGGGTGCAGTATAGTACCTATAAAACATACAACATTTCTCTAGCTCTTTAATGTTTCCTCCCCCTCACCCCCTGCCACCAATCATGACGCCAGTTCTACCTTATACATTAGTCTAGACAGAGCATGTACACTGGTACAGGTAAGAGCTCTCAACACAAGGAATCCAGGACAGATAGATTCCCTAAGAACAATAATGGGAGTAGCAATACCATGAGGGTAGTGGGAAGGTGAGGGAAGAAAGGGGGAACCGATAGCAATGATCAATGTATAAACCCCCCCACCCCCACCCAAGGTGACGAACATCAGAAACATGGGTAAATGGAGACAGCAGACAGTGTAAGATATGAAAATGAAATTAATTTATAATTTATCAAGGATTCATGAAGGTAGACGGGTGAGGGAAGAGGAAGAGAAAAAAACCAGGAGCTGATACCAAGGGCTGAAGTAGAAAGAAAATGTTCTAAAAGGAATGATGGCAACATATGTACAAATGTGCTTGACACAATGAATGTATGGATCATTATAAGAGCTGTAAAAGCCCCCAATAAAGTGATTGATAAAAGTAAAAAATTAAAAATTAAGAGTTGCAGTCTCAGAAAGCCACAGGGGCAGTTCTGCCCTGTCCTACAGGGTCACTGTGAGTTGGCCTTGACTTATGGCAGTGAGTCTTTGTGTGTGTGGCTGTTTTGTGTTGTGTGTTAAGTCTCTGAGCTTGCAGTCTGCTCTCTTACCTGATGATTTGGGTTCATCAATACCTACTATGTAAGTCAGGAGAAGTCTCCAGCCAGAAATCTGACCCGTAGAGTTGGGGCTTGGCCAGCCCTACATTGGGTGAGCCATTTCTTTAAGGTAAATATATATATAGGTAAATAAATATACATATATACATTTCTTTAAGGTAAATACATATATATACAAATA